AATTTAGTCATTGCCTCATAGAGAAGCAAACCACCGAGAGAATCGCCCACTACGAAAACCTGCATCAAAAAATAATAATTTCTTCTATCCATCGGTCTACGATAACCTACCTCTCCACTAAATTGTGGCTGAGTTTCGACAAACTCACTATAGGTTTCGTTCGCACGCCGTATCGTCCCCTCAATCGCCTACAACACTGCGATTTTTTCAAGAATCTCAAAAATTGGCAAGAGGATCACCTCAAAGTAAAGAGTGTGAGCGCTTGAAATAATAAGTGAAAGTGCTGGAAGAAGTGCTCCAAATGAAGCAGAGATCGAGGAGAGGCTATTAACAACAGGATCAAGTTCAGATCCGCATGGAACCGTTACTACATGAACTCGGCCACGTAACTGAGGGTAGTGCCTTTGAACTAGGGAGTCGATGGTGGACCTCAAAGTGGAATTTTGGGAACGTAGATATTTCCCTACTGCCCAAATCACTTACTTAAAGGTGGTCGTGTCTGTAGCTTTGTCCGCTGGATTATCCGGACAGAATTCACCGTGAAATACCATCACTAACAAAGCTGTGCTTGACACGGCATTAGGTGTAAGTGGTGGCGAATCTTAAAAACAAATATTAGAAATTGCTTTTGTCCTCAGGAGCGCGGGAAACTCTTACGCTCATCCACGATCTCCAATTCAAGCTCAGAACTCCATCGAATAATTGATGGTTTGTGATTGAGTGATGATCCATCGCTACAGTCAAAATAGATATCACCTGATGATGCGTCATCTTCTGATTCTTCGGCTGCTTCGTCGGCTCTAAATACATTGTTCTCCTCATTGCAGATCAAAATTGTACCGTTTCAATAAAAAATGCAACGCTAAAATGCTTCCACGTGTAAAATTTGGATTTATCAGCATGATGTCTCTTCATACTCAAATTTTCTGGATACGAAGAGACGCAGTACCTAAAGTCTTTTCTTTTCTTCAAATTCTCATTCAAAAAGACGGTGAACCATTATTCGCGAAACAGCCAATCCAAGTCTAGTGAGTTTAGGAGCCAGCCACTTACTCGTTGGCCATCATAGCAGATAGATGTTCAGCCGCTTCTGCTTCCAACCTTCGAATGTCAGCCATTGTCAACCCTACCCATTCATCTTGCCAAGCCCAAGCTTGTCGATGTGCCCGGAGCATCGTATTTCGTAGAGCTAGGTCGTGAATCCAACGTTCAGCTCGCGTCTGTATCGACTTCAACATAAAATTCCTTGGGGATAAAGTGATTAAGTACCTGCATTCCCCAGTATCGAAACTCCACCTTGCACATCTTGTAAGCGCACATGACGGGTTTACCTAGAGTAATTGGCGGTATCCTACAATACAAATTAGCTACCAGAACGTGCACTGACCCGCCTTCACAAATTCTTCTACCCAGTTCTCAGGAAGGGGACCTCGACCAGTTTTTTGGCTACGATACAATTTTGGATCCTCTTCTGGGCAGTAGTCGTGGGAAGCGATGGGATCCTGGGATGATGTTGCCAAAGTGATTTGGATTTTCTTTATAAATTGTAATTTTTACAGCTTTCAAAATAACCTTGACAAAATCCATGACATCAACAATCCGATTTTTGAGTTCTTCTGGAGTCAGCTTGAAAACATTGTTCTGGGTACCGGAATCATTACAGTAGACGGTTTCTACTTCCAAACTGAATCTATCCATCATCGGAGTCGAGTATCTGAACGCATGTTCACAGTGAGCACAAGCTAACAATTGATGCAAATGTAGTCTTTTTTGTTCATCATAGCTTTTGACCTATCATTTGTCATAAAAGTCAGATAATTTTCTTCCAGATCCGCTAAGCATAACAACAGCGCATAGCAAATTTTTAAGAGCTAAATCTTGACTGAATCACACTGAATCCTTCTGACAAAAGTGTACGTTTGAATTCTAAAATAAGATTTCCTAAACAAAACTTTTAAAAAATTCCCCGTTTTTTCTTCCAAAACGAAACGTACGTTTAAATATTGCTTATTTGAGTAAACACTTCCACTGTTTTTTTTGCTTCTCCGCAAATAAACCTACTCCACTTAAAGATTTCCGCCGTCATGCGATCCCTCTCAATTGCTGACTAAGTGAGAGAGGACCTGTGTATCTAAGCAACGTCTGGAATCATAGCCTCTTCTCGTGGGAATTCGATAAGCCACTCAAGCCTCCAGAGAATAATAAACAGCAGCGGCAACATTTTCACGCAAAAACACCGCTATTGTGCTTATTTTTTT